TATATATATATATAATTGATTAGTAGTAAGCGAATGAGCCGAACACGAGCTTCTTAACGAGCCGAACATGAGCTGAGCGGTTTTGACAGTCCTACTTACATTCATACCACACAATTTATATGTATTTACATATCTAACACTCAAATTTTGATATTTACGCTTATAATTAATTGGTATCATAAATCTATGCACGAAAAAGACTTCTTCACTTTTAAAAAGATGATGATGATGTTTTCTTCTATGTTCTTTTAGAGATTTGAGTGGTGTGCATATAAATATAAATGTTTGGCGTTAGAGTTGACATTATATAAAATAATATGGTATTTATGTAAAAGCCTCATATCAAAATTGCACATATTTTTAAAAATCTAGCACTCTCTTCCATCCAATTTTAAATTTCTCACCCAAATATCAAATTTCATTATAAAACCCCTATCCATATTTTTCCTTTTTTGTTAAATTCTCAATGATTTGACAGTGACACGCATAAATATATGTTCCATAATTTAAAAATAACACGTGAGTGTTACATTTTAAAACAAGTAATATTTCAAATAGCACCTAAAACATTGTTGATATCATGTTTGATATAGCTTCAACAAATTTCCAACATCTAGCACGAATCTCGATGCATGACAAGGGCCTCGATGCGTCTTTTTTAGCAAGAAACATTCAAACTTTGATAAAAAGTCATCTGAAAGTCTGATTTCAATAAACTTACAGTCAAACTGACCGGCTTGACGAGACAGACCAATTGGTTCAAAATTGGTCTAATCCAGCCAAATCAAACAGCAATCAAGACGATTTGGCCCAATTTTTTCTTTTTAAATTTTGGTATGTATGCAACATTTGAAGTTTAGGTGTTAGGAATGTATATGCATAAGATTTTAGCATTAGGTATGTATCATTTGAAGCTTAGGTATTAAGAATGTATATGCATAAAATTAGGTGTTAGTTATGTGTGTATATATATACATAAGTATTGAGTGGTATGCATTACAATCTTGCTATTCATATACATAAGCATTGAGTGTTAGCTCTGTGTGTATATTTATAGATAAGTATTGAGATTAGAGTTGGTCTTAGGGTTTAGGGTTGAAGTAGGATTGGTTGGTTGAGTGTTTTTTTTTAGCTTGAGTCATTTAATATTGGATTTAATTAGTTTTGTTAATGATTTATATTTGGAATATATCTATATATATTTTAACTTTGACTTAAGATTAGGTTTGGAGTAAAGTAGATTTTAAGTTTAGTTTTGTGTTGAATTTAGTTTAATTAAGATTTGATTTTAAGTAGCTTTTTTTTAATTGATGTTGTTTTAGTTTATGTAATTATTTTTCTAATATTAAAGGTTTTAAAGTGTTGAATGATGTTTCTTTGAGATGATTGAGTTGTGTGTTTTACGCGTATAAGAGGATTGTTGTATATATTATGAGATAATTGAAGCCACGTGAACAAAATCACCCTAACATTTTATTTGGAGTTGGTAACCGTTGCATTTACATTGAAAATTTGGAGATAGTATTTGTATAAAATGAGATGTGAGATTTATACATATCTTTGGTACTCAAATTAATCTTGACTTTGATGGCATTGAACTTTAAAAAGAATCGAAGGTTGCACTTGATAAAAAAAATATTTTTCTCGATAATATATTTTAGCTTGATAAATTAATGTGGTTGTTGATGCATTAAATATGAAGTTTACTAGTGTGACAATTTGTGCAAAATTTTTATACTTCTTTACAGAAGAGGGTTAAAAATGCTTTAAAGATAGATGATGATATACATGATTAATTTATCAAATATAGTTAGGAAGATGAGTTGAATTACATGTAGATTATCATTGTATGTTGATGTATGGCACTTGAATTTATGGTCTTTACTAATGGTGATGTGAGGAGAGGTATGTTGACAGATTATGATTTAGAACATTGAGCTATTCTAAGATGTCTTTTATTTAACTTTGTTCAACCTATTTTAACCATAGGTATTACCAAATGAGCCAATGATATGTAGAAAGTATGCTTAATTTCCTTTATGTATTGCACATTTTTATGGATTAAATTGAACTTTAAAGAAATATATTTTTATGTTTTCTTACAGGTACAATAGGTAGTAGAAGTGGAAAAAAGTGGAGAAGAAATTGAACAAAGCGGAGGTGATGTGGAGTAAAAGGTGCCTCAAGAGATTGGCGCCAAGGCGCCAACCATTGGGCGGCTAGGAGCTTTTACCAAGGGCCTTGGCGTCGCCTTCTTGGCCGCCTAGGCACCAAATATGCGACCATGCAGTGTTGGGCCATTTTTCAATAGTTTTCCCCACTACATGGGGACTTATTTGGCAGATGTAAAGGAGGTTTTTAGAGAGTTTTGGCTAAGTCTTTTCATGCTATCGGATGATAGTAGGGTAGGGTTTGTTGTTGGGAAGATTTAGGTGAGTTTACTTAGAGATTTTGGTGAGATTTGTGAGTTGAGTTAGAGGAAAGACATTCAACATTGTAGTGAGGATTGGGACATCCTTTGGGGAGGCATTTCCAGTACTTTGTAAAAGAAAAAATCTAAGTAAGGGTTTAGGCCAAGTTGATTTGGACTTAGGGTTAGGTTCACTTTAAATTGAACTTAAGGAGTTAGGGTTAAGACCAAATTGGTTTGAACTTAGGATTAGGTTCAATTTAGGCTGAACCTAAGGATTTAGGGTTAAGTCCAAGTTGGTTTGGATTTAGAGTTAGGTTCAATTTAGTTTGAACCTAAGGTTTATGGTTAAGTCCAAGTTGGTTTGGACTTAAGCTTAGGTTCAATTTAGGTTGAACCTAAAGGTTTAGGGTTCAGTCCACTTGGACTTAGGGTTAGATTCATTTTAGGTTGAACATAAGGATTTAAGGTTAAGTCCAAGCTGGTTTGGACTTAGGTTTAGGTTCATTTTAGGTTGAACCTAAGGTTTAGGGTCAAGTCCAAGTTGGTTTGGACTGAGTAGGTTCAATTTAGGTTGAACTTAAGGTTTTAAGGTTATGTCCAAGTTGGTTTAGTCTTAGGGGTTAGATTCAATTTAGGTTCAACATAAGGTTTTAGGGTTAAGTCAAAGTTGGTTTGGACTTAGGGTTAGGTTCAATTTAGGTTGAACCTAAGGTTTTAGGGTTAAGTTCAAGTTGGTTTGGACATAGGTTTAGGTTAAATTTAGGTTGAATCCATGGTTCTGGGTTAAGTTCAAGTTGATTTGGACATAGGGGTTAAGTTTAATTTTGGTTGAACCTAAGATTTTAGGGTTAAGTCCAAGTTGGTTTGGGCTTAGGATTAGGTTCAATTTAGGTTGAACCTAAACAATTAGGGTTAAGTCCAAGTTAGTTTTGACTTAGGGTTAGGTTCAATTTAGATTGAATATAAGGATTTATGGTTACTTCCAAGTTGGTTTGGACTTAGGGTTATGTTCTTTTTAGGTTGAACCTAAGTTTTAGAGTTAAGTCCAAGTTGGTTTGAGCTTAGGGTTATGTTCAATTTTAGTTAAACCTAAGGTTTAGGGTTAAGGTTATGTTCAATTTAAGTTGAACTTAAGGTTTAAGGTTAAGTCTAAGTTGGATTGGACTTATAGGGTTAAGTCCAAGTTGGTTTGGACTTAGGGTTAGGTTCAATTTAGGTTGAACCTAAGGTTTTAGGGTTAAGTCCAAATTGGTTTGGACTTAAGGTTAGGTTCAACTTAGGTTGAACCTAAAGTTATAGGGTTAGAACAAAAACAATAACAGCCCTAATAATCTCTAAAACAATCCTAAGGCTAGCTAAGGAATGGAAAACACAAGGGACATAATGTATCACATACGCGGTGTTTGATGACGTCCCCGATTGCAAAGATGAAGCTCTCCTTGCAAAAAAGGGTCCGGCGAGATCCCGAGCTCTGGCGAAATCTCAAACTCCGACAATGATCCTTTTTCTAAGAATGAAGAAGCTCTCCTCTTAAAAACGCCTCCAGCAAAGCTCTGAGTAAGGTCTCTTTCTTCCCTTTATTTTCTCCAGCGAGATGATGGCCGGAGAAGAAACAATGAAGTGGAAGAAGAAGAAGAAGGATGGAGAGAAAAATCTCCAAAAATCCTCAAGCTTTCCTCCTCCAAAGCTCTCCTCTACACTCTTCTCACCAAAGCTATAGAGAAAGAAGAAGAAGATGGAGAGAAAGAAGAAGAAGAAGATCAAAAGGAAGAAGAAGAAGATAAAGGAAAGACCCCAAATATCTCCTGCTTAGCTCCTCCCCTCACTCTCGAAGCTCTTCTCAAGAAATGACACTCGACCTTCTTCTCCTTGCTCAGGGAGCCACTATCCAATGGCCTAAAGCCCCCTTTCCCCATTTAGAATGAGCCTAGATTAGTCTCCAACCCTTTTTTTGGGCGAAGAGCAATGCAAAAGACATTATCTGGCGGTCCCAACGGCGTTGTCGACGGAAATTTGGAGATCGTCAGGCAAGAGTCGTGCTTTGAGATGTCACGTTGTGGCCATGCCAAAATCGGGCGTGGTCATGCCACTATAGAAGGCATTACAGACGAGAGTTCAACATAGTCACGCTGGAGACCAAACATAATTACGCCGGGCTCTCGGTCAAAGGAATGGCCAAGCCACCCTCAGAAGTGCTCCGTCGTGGTGTTTCGGCTCCAGCCCAGGTTTCCTAGGGCGTGGCCATGCCCGTTTCTGAAGTGATCACGCCAACGGTGAGGTGTGGTTACGCTGGACCTTTGCACCTGAAGTGTTGGTCGGAGCAGCTTTAAGCCTCATTCGGACTGCGGGAGGTCTCAAAAAGGCAAAATATGGTCCTCAAATATAAAAAATGAGCATCTTACACATCTCAGATTATAACTACTATCGTTCAAAAGGCAAGCTTTTCAGGGCAGGGCTAAACGTGTACCGATCCCAATCCTGCGCTCAAGGCGCGTACCAGGATGGTTTGGACGGATGTCCTAGGTTACGGGAAGCTAATAAACCATCCTGTAGCACTTAAGCGGACACCGACATATATAGCATCTAAAAGTGATGCCCATTCCAGTTATAATTATGTAAATTCTAACCACCTGCCTAATTCCCGATTATTCAATTCCAAATATAGATTTTCACATAAAAATGTAATTGCATAAATCCCCATTCCCAATTGAGTTAGGAATAGAACACAAACACATTTACAATCTATGAAATTCATCAAAGTCCTACAGCTGATAATAATAAAAATAATAATACTCTATTGGTAAGAAACCGGCACATATAACCTGACACTAAACTCAGCCAAAGCCTCGCAAAGCTGGAACATATCCTACGCCTACCCCAAGCTCTGAAACAATAGCAGCTCACAGTAGCTGTCAACTTGCTTAAAAGGACTAAATCCATTTCTTCTTTGCAGTCATCATCTCTGCCTGCGGCTTTCTGCTCCTAGACTTCTTCTCATCTGTGATAGAAGAAGCAAACTGCTTTGAACTTACTGAAGCATTGGCTTCAAGTTTCCTGCTCACACGATTCTTCCTGAGAGGGCACATTGCTTCCTGTAGTGTTGAGACAGAAGAGCCCATAACCTTCGTTATATCAAGCCTCCCATGTTTCATCCCATTGCTTGAATTGCTTGATGGATTCAATCCGAATCCACCCCTCTGAGGAGAATCTCGGTCAGAGGAGGATGTGCTGCTGCTGCTCATGTCATAGAGAATGTTTTCCGTCATAAGCGGTGGACGTTCAGTGGTTGAGTCTGAAGCAAAAGGCGTCGATGATGGCCTTCGAAGCCTCGTGAATTTGACTATCTGCAACCAATTTCCATTGATCCAAAGCTTTATTGAAACATTATAACTTTAAAGGACTATGGAGGATATCTTACCTGTTGCTCTAAAACAAACATATCCTTCTTCAACTTCGTAATTACCATGTTCTTCCTTCTTATAACCTCTTCCAGTTCTGTAATCCTCTATTTGATAAGAAATGAATTCCGAGTAAGATTAAGGCTTCAAAAACAGAAATGCAGAAAATTGGAGTGAAAGACAACCTTAGAGTAAGTAACATTGGAAGTATGAGCAGCAGTTGTCAGTTCCCTAATGGTGGCATTCTTCTCTTCGAATTCCTTTCTAAGATTGTAAAGCTCCTGTTCTGCTGCCAATGTGCTCAGTTCTGCAGGCTAACAAGCTCACCAAACATTTTTATTAATAATTAGGGCCGGATCTCCAAAGAACTCAAAAGATAAACATGGATCTTCAAAGAACATTTGTTATTAAAAATTATATTTTAAGATTATTTGGGGTATTAATCCCAGATCATGGAATATAGTTTTAATGTTTAATCTCCTCCATATATATTTCTTAAGAGTTTTTATTGAAAAATTATTTTGATTTCTGCCTTATTTTCATGATGCTCTTGTACAAAACACTAATAGCACATTTACAATCGATTAAAGATGTTATTTTTGTTCTCACTTCTTTATTTGAAGTTGATGATAAGGTAGGCAAGATGAATGAGAAAAAAATGAATAAAAGATGGAATGTCCATAAGCTTCAAGTTGATAAATATCAAAGGCATGCCTTCAAATAAAAGAATAAAAGGAAGAAGTAGAGCATAATAAGAAAAAGAAAACAAACAAGTTTAGAAAGAAATCATAAAAAGATGTACATTCAAATTTAACTTTGGAAGGCATACTTTAAATTAAATTGATATCATTTCTAACAGCTTCCATACCTACAATTTTGTTCCTTAATTTAATTTAGTTCCATAAATGACAACTAATATATTTTATGCTTTATATGATTTAGTCCTTAAAAAATTGTTTTTTTTACTGTCTTAAGCATGAATAGAAATTTTTTTTTTAAATATCATATAATCCATGTTTCAAGATAATTTTTTTCCTTTTAGCATAGATTTTATAATTAGTTGTTGACTTATAAGACTCATGCTTAAAGAAATTATTGCCTGGCAATTTTTTATCAAAAAATTCCAATTGATTGATAATAAATAAGCCTTGGTTTTAGTGGAAAGCATAGTTTTTTACATGATTCATATGCAAATTATGTATACCAGAATTGTGTTGTTTGCTTAGTTCTAACTCCTGACCAGAAACATGTAATTTATTTAAAAGTATAACATAGATTAGTAATTGGCAATGACCCGGTGATGGATGTTTGATATTTCTAAGTGGTGCTCCCTTTAATGGTGCTTAAATTTATTAGTTAGTTTGTGGTTCATCATACTTAATCCTTGAAGAAAAAACAGTCAGATCAACAGAGAGAAATACAATCATTAAAGTTGGAGAAATTTTGTTCATATCTGCCTCATTCATGAAGTGAACAAAAACTGTTTCAGTTCCCTCACCTGAGTATCTACAGAAGAAGCAACACTCCAACAAAAATCAGATAGATCAGACATTCGGCGTTCCTCTTGCTCAGTTAATATCTCATAATTGTTCTCTGTCAATCTTTCTTTGCTAGACTGAGTCACACAAACATCCTGTGAGGGTGTATAGGTTAGATATTGTTTAATAATTAGCATCAAAGAAGAAAATAAATGATCACAATGCTGATTGGAAAGCCTTTACTTTTGTCTTAATGGATTGGCTATGACAGAGAGGAACAATGCCGCCATCTGGGTTGAAATAAGGAGCCCGACAATCGCCATGGAAGAATTTTGCTTTATTTTTTTCCACCATTTCAGAAACTATAACCTGCTCATTTTTGGACTGAAAGTTGCTGCCTGATGTTGGAGAGTGATCTTTCATAAATGTCATTTGATCCAACAAATCGTTATGTTTCAACTGCATGTTCTTTAACATCTCATCCTGTTCATGTATGCAAATGTGAACAAATTATCTCAAATTAAAAATTACAAGCAAAAAGAACTGTTGGATGAACACAATAAATTCAAAACTTCAAACTTGCCGGGAAGTACTATTAAAAAGTGATCTGGTGCTAAATAAAAACCACTGAAATATTTAAGGGCGTGTTTGTGACAATCATTGCCTTAACTCCCATTTGATTGCTGAAATTATTCAATTCATATAGAAAATGATAAGATGGTATGGTTAGAAATCAATATTTGATTCAAACAATGGGCTCCACTGATTACAATTCGAGCAAGATTGGAGCTAAAAGGCATTGATTCCAATTAGCAGTCCTCTCAACAAATCAACGAGAAGTTAATAAGAAAAAGACCATTTTTTTATAAGTATGTAGGATATCATCAAGCCAACCCTAGTCATTGACAAAATCCAAAATTTATGGGCAAAATTCGATAATCAATAAGGGGTTGTCTGGCAAAAGATGACATTTAAGTTATTAGGATTTAGTAAACCCCGTAAATCTGGATTTACTAAATCCTGAATGGTTTAAATCCGAAAAACTGTATGGTAATGTATTTACTAAATCCTGTAAATCCAGCATAACTGTTTGGCAATTAAGTAGAATAAACCAAATAGCTCCTCCACCAAATCACGTAAATCTCATAAATCCACCGATTCATTAGATTTAGTAAATCCATGATTCGCGGTCGAAATCCGGATTTATCAAATCCACAGCTTTATTTGTCCAAAATAACCGTTAGCCTACATCCAGTTTAAATCTTGCTCTAAGTCCGTTGCCACACGGCCCCTAAAAGAAATAATAAAAATGAAAGACTAATGCATTAAAACAATTAATAAAATTTAGAGAAATACCCTAATGTGGACAGAGAGCTGAAGCTGCAATATTCTCTGGGATCGCCTCCTCTCTGCAGAGGTAATTGCGATTAGGGCAACAAGCAGGACGCGTTGCAGCGGCGTAAAGAGCTTCCAAACCACAGCTTCCTCGGGGCCAAGTCCCATCCCTATGGCTCGTGCAGAAGTTGCCTCAGAGGCGCCGAACGAGCGGGATTGAAGCCAGATCCAGTCTAGCTGCCGGTGATCCGAGATGATGGGGCGGTGCGGTTCTGCAAAACGTGTCAATAGGCGAAGGGGGGAAGGGGAGGGAGGGAAGGAGACGCAAGGAGACGCGAAGGACGGCTCGACTGGGTAGAAGCCATCTGCAGCGTAGGCACTGGTCATCGTGAGTGGGAACCAGGAAGTGAGGGGAGGTGGAGGAAGGCGGAGGAGGCGCGTAAAAGTGCAGGTTTTGATTGTTTGAATCTTTCAAAATGGGTCTGTGTAAAGGCGTTTTGATGCAAAAATGACAAATGAAATGGTGCCACGTAGGCAGGTTTATTGAATCATAGGAAGCCCTTTTAAAATTCATTAAAACATTAAAACGTTATTGTATCATATAGTTAAATGTTATAACTTGATTTGCTCAAAAACTTTGTAAGAATAGAAGCATAAACATAGTAATGTCGAAAAATTATTGTGTCAGGTCTTCAATTAAAAATAGACAAGTGTCAGGGTGGATCTCACTCTTTTAAGAAATAATAAAAATCGTGTATTTCAGTGAGACCCACATTTTCACGTTGTCATTTTGACACCGTACTCAAATTTGCTTTCAGTGTCCGAATATAATAATCTCTCGGTAAGGTCAGCCATTTTTTTTTTCTTAAAGATTTGATTAATGCTTACAATATATATAATAAAATTAAATATGATTTATCAATTTTGTTATTCATTAGGGGTGGAGAGACACTTGGGATGGAGAAAGTATTGCATTCGGAGTCCAGACGTAAGCATTTATGTCTGTGCACAACGTTGAGGATGAGGCAACGAGATGAAATGAATACAAACTAACATCATATTTCTTTTATATAATATATATTATAAATTAAAATATTAACATATATATAATTTAAAAAAAAAACAGCAAAAATGATTAAAATATATTTTATTTCCTGCTCATATGTGTGTGTGTGTGTATTGTTGAATTCTGATTTTTCTTTCTGAAATTCTCAATAGAGAGACCGGGAAAAGGTTCGCATGTCGAGCTAGGTGCTAGTGATCGGTTGGAGTTTCCGAGTCGGCTGATGATGTAGGGGTACATATTTTTAACATTACTCGCATCTTCTTGAAAATTTCTCCGCATCTTTCAAAAGGGTGGGCCATATGTACCCTTGCCTTTGCACCCAATAGGCTAACATTTTTGCCTCGGAGTGACTGCCGCACTCTCTGGAGTGCATGTACTGGAGACATGTTGTAATTCATCTTCTCTCAAGCATCTCAGCTATACCGATGTTACTGATCGACTGAAGAGTTTTCCTTCGATCATCAAATATAACGCAACCTTGATTTTAAAACACCTTGGATCTTTAACATGTTTTGACACTTTTTCAGATTTTTGATAGAGGATGTACGGATCGATTCAACTCCACATTCCTTCAACCAAAATTTTCATCGCGTCTGGTTCCTTGATTGCCAGTCGAGTAAGTCTTTGTAGGGGTTCGCCCAAATTGATGTGTTTGGAAAGGATATCAACGACATGATTCTTCTCTCATCCTACATGCTCAATGCAGATGTTTTTTAATCTCCCGATCTCTTGCTTCGTCTTAGCGAGGTATTTCATTGTCAGTTCCTCTCTAACCTCAAATTCTCTATGTAGTTGGTTTACGACCAACAAAGAATCTGACTTCAAAAGTACCTACCATGTGTTTCATAAGCTAGGTGAAGCCCAGAGATCAATGCCTTGTACTTTGCCTAATTATATATGACTTCAAACTATACCGAAATCGACAGGTTGAGGTGTTCTCCGGTTGGGCTGCTCAGGGCCAGCCCCATATCGACAGTTGACTGTTTGGAGGCCACTTCAACATATAAGAGCCATGTCATATTGTTGGGAAAATCTTTTTCATTTGATTCTTCCATAGTAGAAAAATATGATGGAAGTCAGCGATTGCCTGGGTTTTGATTGACGTTCAGAGGATATAATGTCGTATTCAATGAGCTCCATCACCCACTTTAACAGTCGACCCGAGTACTTTGGTTGTGTGATATAACTTTAGTAGATGATCCGTGATGTCCCAGATTGGATAAATATGGAAATATGTTTGTAGCCCATGTTTGGAAATAATCAAAACAAATGTTAGTTTATCCATAATCTGGTACCTGGTTTCGGTGTCATGGAGCACTCGACTCATGTAATAGACTGAGAATTGTTTCCCCTCCTCTTCTCTGACCAGAATCTAGCTTAAAGCTTCTCATCTGGCACCGAGATATGCAGATAGTTCCTCTGCTTGTTTTGGACCTTAGAGCAGTGAGGGTGATGCTAAGGATTCCTTCACACTTTTGAATGCTTTCTCGCATTCGGGAGTCCACTCAAAATGTTTGCTCTTCTTAAGTACCTTAGAGAAAGCTGCGCATTTGCACCCGATTTTGGAATAAAACAATTGAGTCCCTTAATTCAGCCAATTAATCTTTGCATTTCTTTGATGCTTTGAGAAGATGACATATCTAGGATCACTCGTACCTTCTTCGGATTGGGCCTCAATTCTCCTAAGATATTAGTATTGCCTTTTTGCTCATGTATGTGGGGTTGTGGATCTGGTGGCAAGCATGCAAAACTTCACTCTCCTATGAGTCGTGCAAGTTCAATTTATATTTAATTTAGTTACTCTTTTATGATCGACATTCACACAAAATCTGACAACACTTTGGTAGCCTCTCGGTGTCATCCTTATTTAGGGGGCTACATTGGCGAGCTGAGGCCTTCCTATCATGCTTAAAAAAACATGCACAGTTAGTGCCTTTCGACACTATGGCCCAAGGGTCTTCATAACCCACCATGCTTAAGAAAGTATGTCTGGGACTTCATGTTCCAGCATAAAATATAATAATGCACAAACAAGAAACCATTCCAATCTCATTGATACGACATAGAAGAACCTTTAACCCATCATGCTTAAAAAAATGTGCATGGGGCTTGAGTTACCTACAAATTGAAATATAACACATAATTTCCACGCTAACATGACAAGTGCTTATATATATTTTTTTAATCAAAGTAATTAGCCAAAGCCACCACTTAGGGTATGTTTGGCGGCACGGCTAGACAGCTTCGCGACACCCCACCCCAGACTTCTGTTGTTTGGAGGCGTGGCAGAAGAACTTCGCAGCCACCGCAGAGGGAGGTTTCGCAAAAAGTGGGCCGCAGGATCGACCCTGAGGCCCTCCTTCCGCCGTTCTATTTTTACACAGTTGCCCCTTTGATCGAAGGTCTGGGTTTGTTCGGGTTGTTACGCGAAATGAAGCTCTGCTCCTTCCACCCCTCCTTCTCTGGCGTTCGTTTGTTGTTCATCATCTCTGACAGTTCGGCTCTTTCTTTCTTCTTCTCTTATCTTCTCATTGAAAGGAACCTCTGTCCATGAGTCTCCATCCTCTTCCTTCCTCTCCCTCGAACCTGCACAGCCCGCTTCTTCCACCGTAGCGCGATTCTTTGGTGAAGTAAATATCCTTTTTTTCCTCATCTGAAAATAGCTGCAAAAAGTTGCATCTTCAGTACTTTTTTCATCTTCTTTTCTCTCCAACAAGGGTTTCAAAAACTATAAGATGAAAATCAAATGTTGGTTACTATGCTAAAAATTTTTAATATAATTTCATGCCATAATAACCAAATTGATTGGCATGGAGATTAGGTTGAGCTACTGACCGAGAATAAAAATATAAAATGCTAATTAAACTTAAATCAAATCAATTATGGAATTCTGATTATGTTTTTCACCCTTTTTCTGTCATGTTTCCCAATCAACTAGTTATGATAAAGAATTTGCCAAAGATGTTATTAGCTCGTGAGATTTTTGACACATCTTCTGTTATCTATAGATGCATAGGAAAGGATGCATTTCAACCATGTTGGTTTTATTATGCAAAAGTGATAAATATAATACCTGAGTTCTGAATGTTTTCTGCTTTATCAAGTGTTTTTTTTTGTAGATTGATGCATTGTTAAAATATTCATCATATTGCATGCTATCTTGTGTCGATAAAATAATAGTGCTTACTTGTCATTGTAACTTGTATGATTTGAATTTCAAGATAAAGTTTGGAATATTACATTGAATGTTACTTTTTGATGCATCTCTTAGGAGTATATAAAAACAATCAAAATAGATTTTGCTTCTTGGCTTTAATATGGGGAAAGAAGCCTCTATCACATGGGATTGAGTTGTTAAAAACATTTTTGGTGATCCATATTTGAATGAAATCAAATCAGGCAACTAGCGAACAATTGACAAAAGTTAATCAAAAACTTTCAAGAAAAAATAGGACAAGAACATGAAAAAAACACAACTAGGATAGAAATGAGATCAACAAAAGAAAAACTGAAAAATTTAAAGAAACTAAAGAGTAATGGTCCCGGAGTATGTTATCTCTAGGACCAATTCCCAGGTACTTGGGCATTTTTTTTCCTCATTACCTGGTTGTATACAACAAACTTTAGATTCCCAGATTGCCTTAAGGTTGCTGCTTTCATGCCTTATTTGTTGGGAGATCTGGATTATCATGCCGCTGGCATGCACCATAGTATGTGAAAAGATTTAGTATTATGTTCTCTAAATGACTCCTGTTTATTCTTGTCTAGAGTATTAGTCATATATTCCTCTTCTCATGTATATACTTAGAGGAATGCTCAGACAACTGGCCATATTTTGGACTTTTGCAGAGATCAAAGAGGAAGATGTACTATCATCGCCTGAAGAGGTTCATAGTTTAAACTCTATAGAGGTTGATACTTTCTCCCTGCCCAACTTAGCAGTGCCTCCAAATGCCTACACAGGCATACGCAAGAAAATTTCTTCTTTGAGACGTTGGCTTGCCATCTGTGCTGATGATGCAACAAAGTAAGTTTATTTATGAAATTATGATTATTTTTCTATGTAAATATGCTGTATATACTAAACCATTACAGGCTTATGTTCGTACCCTTTTCCTTTGAAATGGGCAATGTATTATTTGACCAGATTTTTAATGAAATCTAGGGGAGGAAGGTAACAAGTAACTGCCTGAAGGATATACTAGGTGAATGATAGGCCTTTATCCTGCAGAAGGTGTTCCTTGCTCAAGGATCTTGGCGACAAGCATGATAAAGCAATTAGCAAAATGCCCTTTTAGATGGGAGTGTTGCTCCGCGGTTAAAGATATGAGATTTTGGTTACTCTAAGGCATGCACTAGTTTGTATGGTAATTGACTTGTTACTGATTTTTTGAGTTGTGAGCAATAGGAATGTTTTGAGTCATGGAGGTCTACATTGGAGTTTAAAGGCCTTCATTTAAGTAGAACTAAAACTGAATACATGGAATGCAATTTTAGTAGTAGTAGCTCTAGTGACAGAAGTGTGATTTTGTGTGATCAAATTATTAAAAGATGTGAACGATTTAGATATCTTGGGTCCGTTGTTCAAACCGATGGTGATATAGATGGGGATGTTAGTAGTAGAATTCAAGTTGGTTGGTTGAAGTTGAGGAATGCTTCAGACCTTTTGTGTGATAGAAAAATACCGCTTAGACTGAAAGGAAAATTTTATAAGACGGTGGTGAGACCTGCAATGTTCTATGACGCTGAATGTTGGCCTTTAAAAGAGAAGCATAATAATAAGTTAAGTGTTGCTGAGATGAGAATGATTAGGCGAATGAGTGGCTTTACACTTAGAGACAAAAATGTGAAATGAATATATCTATGATAGTGTTGGTGTAGCTCCTATGACGAACAAAATTAGAGAAAGCCGTCTTAGATGGTTTGGTCACATTAAACGTCGACCATCTGATGATCCGATTAGGAGAGTAGATGTTTTAGATTTGACTTGTGTTAAGAAAGGCAAAGGTAGACCTAGGAAGACTTGGGGCTTATTATTTAAAAAATGATCTTAATTTACTAGAACTAAATGAAAATATGACACTAAATAGGATGCAATGGAGAAAAAGAATTCATGTAGCCGACCCCATGTAGTGGGATTAAGGCTTTGTTGTTGCTATTGTTGTTGTTGTACCTACAGTTGATGCATTCCAGCTATGTGGGATCAGTTTTGGATTCCTTGTTTTTTATTCATTCTTTCTCATCATTAGTCATACAAGTTTGATTCTGATTATAATTGAGAATCTTTTCTCATGAATTGAAAAAAAGAAACATGTGTTTCTTTACTTTTGTAATACTAATTTATTTTAGAAATATTAATTTATGCACGTCTTGTTATAGTGGAAGAAGAATACAAAGTTCTCACACAGGATTAATAATGATTTTAGTTTGAAATTTAATTTCTTTTGCGATAAATTGATGTTTTTTTTTTGTTTCCTCCTTTTCTACTTGATGATGCTCGTTAACTTGGCAGTATTAAAAGTAGTATTACATTCACAACCGAAGTCGACTGTTGGAACTCCTCCATGTATTGCTCTTGAAATTTTTCTCAAGAAGGAATATGATGGCAAGGTATGAATTAATTGTAACTCTTTGAGGCAGAGGCATAAGCAATGGCTGCATATTTTATAAACATTACATTTTTTTTGTGTTAGGTAAAAGAACAATATTTGTCTGTTGTTTACTATTCCATTTTATACTTACAATATTTGTCTATTGTTTACTCCTTTGTTGCAATCAGGAAAACATAAGCTCATGGATTTCCGGGACATCCCAACGCATTCTCTGCCACTGTGGCCTCCAAACTTCCTTGCTGACGTCATGTTGGCCACTCAACTACGGGAGAAAGTTCTACAGCTGCCCACGGAGCATCACCGAGCAGTGTCACTTCTTCCGTTAGGCAGACGATTTGGTGGATGTCCCTGACGACGATGATCAAGAATGGACAACATCACTTGCGGAAAGTCTGGTAGAATAATGTAATCATCTTGTTGATTCTGTTTTAAATTTTTTTAAGTTTTTTTTTTTTTTTTTGCTCTTATGATACTCACTGTGACATGAGATGAGCATCCGTACTTAGCTACTGTTTTAAATACAAGTTTTGTGTTGTAAGAAGTTATTACATATAATTTGTAATTATGTACGGTTCGGTGTATTTATGTACTGCTTAGTGTGGCCTGTAGTTATTGCAAACTTTGAGTTATGTACATATTTTCTAATTACTATTTTCATTGTACATGTATTGTAAATCATTAAATAAGAAGATATCCATTTTGTAGACTAAAATATAATTTTAGCTCACTTCTTCAATTTGTGTTTATTACAACACTATTTAAAATTTTATTCTTTTATAATATTGTGTGGATAAAATACTTATTACAATAATACTACTGAATTCTTTCCTTCCTTACGCCGGTCATGTATTTCGTATATTAACCCATCTAATACATAAAATTATTCCATATAATAATCAGTTTCATTATACATTACATATCTAACACTCCAATTTTATTCCTTAATCATAATTAATTTCACATATTTACACATCAAACACTACATTTAACTTCATTACATTTATGCGACTAAATTTTTTTATAAAACTTCAAAGTTTATGTGTTAGATATGTAAATACATATATATTGTGTTGCATATGTGTTATTATTCCTAAACATAAGTTGTTAGCACTTTATGAGTTTACCGAAGTTCAAAAAAAATGATTGTTACAATCTTAATATAAACAGTTTTACCAAACATGAGCAGTATGACCTTTTTTCCATAAACAACTGCCCGACATCTAATTTCATACAGCTACACCAAGCAGACAACCAGCTTTCCCACAGTTGTTTTCACGCAGCAGCTTCCTTGGGCAGCGTAGCTACAGCTGAAAAGCTAAGAAATTGCAACTGCACAAAAAGAGCCTTAATCAAGATGGTAACCAATCCAAATCCTGCAAGAGTAGGAAACATGATTCACTCATAGAATCGAGAATTTTGTTTCTCCATCTAATCTTAATCATTGTTGGTGTCACCCACGGTAATGGAGGAGAGGAGAGGCAATGGAGAGCTGTGACAAAGGGTTTTCACGGGATGGAGCATGATATTTATGGGAAAGGAAGCTCGCCGGTCTAGGTATGACGTCATCGGGGAAGGGCCAAGCAACAACTTTGGGGAAAGGGCGGTAAGCTCACCGGAGCAGTAGGAGGCGGTGAAGTTGATGGTATCACGATATTGCGTAAAATAACTTTAATAACATCACAATAATACCACAATATCACTGGTATCGCAGTTTCACTTCAATAAGCTCACAAAATAACTCAAATAACACCACAATAATATCACAATAACACCAGTGATGAGCGTCAATAACACTGATCGGAGAACCACACAAATAACACCGTGGTAACCCCGCAATAACCCCTACAAAACAGCTCAAATAACATCATAATAACACCGCAATAACAGCCTTGAACATCACCAATAACACCGACTGGAGGACCAAGCAAATAACACCGTGATGTTACTGGGATGTTATTGGTGTTTTTTTTATCAATTTTTAGGCTGTCTCAGTCAAATACACATGACAAAATTTTACTGAAGTCTAGACGCATAACTGCGTCTGGACTCTGTATGGAAAATTTTTTCTCTGGGATGATGCCTGCAAGATAAAAGATTTTATTATCTTTTATTAACTTTTCAATAAGTTGAAATTCAAAATAACCACGTGGCATCATTTTATTGCGCAAGGTGGGCGACATATCAGTACAAGAATATGGGGATCGGCGGTGGCTTGACTGGGAATGCACGGGAGGGTTTTGCATGTATAATTTTTATTTTCATTTTAATTTATGCCCCTATTTATGTGCTTTTAATTGGTGTGTGAAATCACAATAATATGAGTGTCATTTATAAGTAAATTCAATGTTTTGAATGTGGTTGTACATTCCGTTTTGAGCTAGGGGATTGTTTGAGCAACTCGACAGTGATCGTGGTAATTCGAATTTGATCCACACATGACTGCACTAGCATTTTGTCGTTTTCTCCGTGCTCACCTCTTCCAAGCATGAAAGACACTTTGGTTGAATTTGATGTTCTAAATACAATGATAGAGTTCGATTTGCGATCGTGCATTATTTGGTTCAATTTTGATGAACATTCAGGCGTTTCACATTTAATTGTGCAGTGTCACATTCTTTGTACACTGTTCTTGTCGTGTTCGATCAACTCATTATGTGGAGTATATGTAATGGTCAACAATACATGTAAATAGTCCTTACATTTATAACATCAAAATATTTCACATCACATCATAAAAACTACCATTTCATTTATTAAAGAGTGAAATACCTATGATTATGCAAAATTCATAACTCTAATTAAGATGATAGAATTGGAAGTTTGGGTGTTAGATATATAACTAGATAGGAACTGAGTGGTAGGTATGTAAATCTTCGAGAAATTAGAGAACAAAAATAAATGAAGACAACCATGATGAAAGAATGTCAAAATTAAAATAATAAAATTTAAAATTTTAAACCTAGTCTAGGAATAAAACATAGAAACTAAGGGTGCATTTGTGGCAGCTTGTGAGTTTCAAGATAAGCTGTTTATCCGAAAACGCGGCCCGCGGGCGGACCGCGGGTTCGACCTGCGACTTGCGTTTAGTGTAAAAACCCAAACGTGGTTTCAGATAAGATGACGAAACACGCGAACCAAACGGTATGGCGGCATTTTGAAAACGCCATATGCACTTATAAGCTACCCCAAACGGGTCCTAAGGCTCTTGTAAAAGAATTCTCTCATGTAATCGTCAATTACTTGTATAAGAGTGATTAACCTTGCTAACTTGGAAAAAGATTAAAATGTGGCTCATGATTAAGGTCAACCATTATGAGTGCATTCTTTCCTTTTTTTACTTCATAAAATGAAAATTTTTTTAGTTCAGTTATGTAAAAAAAGACTTTCAAAAAGTACATACAAGAATGTTTTCACCACACACAAAGCACCTAAATAACTTGTTTGACTAATGGGCATTTTCTAGCATTTTGGATTTAAGTAGTCTGTTTACCTTCTCAAGATCTCATCATCTTAAATATTAAAAGGAAACAAACAATTAGTTTTAGGTCTCCTTATCATGAGAAAATATTACATACGGATGACAGACATGACGACGACGATATGAATCACACCATACCATTGAACATAGCACATGGTATGATCCACGTTGTCGTCCGCACGTCCGGATAACCAGACATAATATTTTCTCCTCTATCATTATCTCACATTCCTTTAAAACTTATACAAATATGTCA